GTGATAAAGTCATTCTCTTCTAACCCAGGGGTCCATGAAACTGTGGCAGGTTAGTTTGTTAGCTTGAGAGTGGAGTGAAACCTCAGACTTCACAGGTGGTGGTGGTGTTGTTTAAAGAAGGGGTCTTACTTTGTTGCCCTGGCTAGTCTCAAATTTCCTGGGCTCAAATGATCCTCTTGCCTCTGCCTCCCAAAGTGCTAGAATTACAGGCATTAAGCAGCAGTGCTCAGTCAGCCTTCATAGATCTTAACAAAAAGTAATTTGCCTAAGGTCTGACAGTTAGTAGGTAGCATATCCAAGATTCAAACCCAAGCTGTCTGACTCAGAAACCTTTTTAAACTCTCTGCTACACTGCAGTGGTTCTCAAAGCATTGTTCCAGAAATAACAGCATCAATATCAGCCTCAAACATGTTACACATGCAAATTCTCGGGCACTGCCCTGGACCTGCTGGATCAGAAACTTGGGGGATGGGTAAGAGGAGCACATCTGTGTTTTCACAAGCCTTCCAGGAGTATATTACAGGTCTGAAAACTACTGCCAGACTGCACATACTCACTGTATCTATAAGAGAGAAGGAAATGGTATGAGTATATCCTGATTTACATAGGGATATGCTCTCAAAAATTTATGAACTGACCTTTCACAAGTTGAATAATAGTTTTCATGCACTAAGAGAGCTAGTCTGCAATGCCCTGTATTTAAATTTTAGGAAGGTAAGGATTCTTACCTAACGCAAATAAATACCGTGTGTCTGTTAAATAGGTCTGCATAATTTTTTCCTTTGGAGGCACAAATGTTCAAATGCTAAATGAAAATACTTGTTTTTATGCCCATAATGATAAGAAAGAATTACTTACCCAAGGATAAACACTATTTATATTTTAGAGTCAATCTGTAATTCTTGAAAAACAGGAAACCACATATCAACATAGCCAACACAGTGTACCATAGCAGAAAGGGCACCAGGCTTTGAGTCACAGAGTCAAGTCACTTAACTTCTTCAACTCAATTTCCTGATTTTAAAATGGAAAATGAATTCCAACTTCAAAGTTGCAATTAGGCTTAAATGATTATGCCATGTGAAAGCTGTTGGTAAACAGTTAAGAGCCAACATTAGTTCCACCTGCACAGGCCCTTGCTCTTTGTTGATCATGTTACCATCACAATTTCTCCAATACTTAGGATACTCTCTGGCTCACAGAAGGTACTCAATACTTATGTGGTATTAGGAATAAATATGAGATATATTAATGATGTAATTGATTCCTTCAAGCACTATTTGTTACAATAATCCCAGTCTTTTTATAGGAAAAAGTCACTCCAGCAAGAAATCCTTAGTCATGTTTAAAATGGGCCAGATAATTTAAGAAAATCAGCGGAGTTTCTTCCCTTCGGGAATACTACCAAAGTTCTGTCCTAAGGCAAACCACAGAAACTCCTATTAGTAACCCTGATGACCTTGGGGTCTCCTGGTGTCAAGTCTATAGCAATCTGTTGTCCAGATATAAACAATCAGGAATAATGGATGTGTACTTACAAAGAGCCACTATTTCACATTTCCATGCTGTGGCGGAATTTTAATAAGTGAATTACAGAGTTTATGTAATCTATTTTAATAAAATCTAAGATCCAAATTAACAATATTAAATAAGCTTCTACTGTGTATTAAAAAAAGAGACTACCCAAAAGCAACTGCCAATTAAGTATCACTTGGGAAGAGAAACTACTGTTGAATTTATCATTTAATAAGGAAAATGCCTTTTTTTTTTTTTTTTTTTTTTTGAGACAGAGTCTTGCTATGTGACCCAGGCTGGAGTGCAGTGGCGCCATCTCAGCTCACTGCAACCTCCGCCTCTGGGATTCAAGCCACCCTCCTGCCTCAGCCTCCTGAGTAGCTGGGGTTACAGGCTCAAGCCATCATGGCCAGCTAATTTTTGTATTTTTAGCAGAGATGGGGTTTTGCCATGTTGGTCAGGCTGGTCTCGAACCCCTGACCTCAAGTGATCTGCCCGCCTCAGCCTCCCAAAGTGCTGGGATTACAGCCATGAGCCACCACGCCTGGCCCCAATGAAGTTGCTTAATTTGTACTCTCTCCAACATACTTTCTCAATCTCCTGAAAAATTAGTTAACGGTCTAGAGTCTTGAAATAAAGGAAATCTGGGCCCACAAATTACACAGAGTTGAACACAGAATACCTTCCACTGGCTTTTCAAAAAATATTGAAAACAAGTTTACATTTTCTGAGCTTATTTTTTTCACCCATCTTTTCAACTTTCAAGGCAACAGCAATATGCAACTTCAACCCAACAACCACCTGGCTAAAACGACTTGTAGGCCGGGGATGGTGCTTCCACGCATAATCTCAGCACTTGGGGAGGCAAAACTGGGAGGATTGCTTGAGCTAGGAGTTCAAGATCCACCTGGGTAACATAGGGAGCCCCCCCAATCTCTGTCAAAAGATTTTAAAAAATTAGCCAGGCATGATGGCACATGCCAGTAATCCCAGCTACTTGGGAGGCTGAGGAGGGAGGATCCCATGAGCCCAGGAGTTGGAGGTTGCAATGAGCTATGATAGTGCTCACTCCAGTAGCAGTAGCACTCCAGCCTAGGTGACAGAGGGAGACTCTGTCTCAAAAATAAATAAAGTGACTTGTAGAGGTGCCTGATAGATGTAACTGATATATATGTATTTTAATAGTCTCTTCCAAATTTAATACAAAACCTAATTTAGCAAGTATCTCAGTCAATTAAAAAAGTAACTTTTAGCTCAACCAGCTCTGTGAAATTCAGTTAAACCAGAGAGGAAAGAAAAGAGACAGCCAGTTTTGATATAGTCTTATTACCCTATAGTGGACCAGTGATTCTGGTAGCAAAAAAAATGCATGCATGTTATGGATGTAGGAGAAAGCAATGTTTAAAATGGCCTGGACTTTCGTCATAAATTCTCAATCTCTAAATGTTCTTTGCATTCTAATTTAACACACTGTGATTCTTCAAAATCACATTTTTGCAAAGTTGAAGTTAAGCAAATGCCAAAGACACATTCAATCGTTACAGTGAATAAGGCAGATTAATATTTAACAGTTCATTTTATTCTTGCAGGTGAAAAGCAAAGAATTCACAGCAACATACCTGCAAGTCCTACATCTCCAGCCTCATCATCCTTGTAAGTTACATTTGAGAAAAGTCTCCAATATCTAAACTCATTTACCCCAAAAGTCCCACTCTTCAATCTCTATTTGTCTCAAAATGACCAAATCTATTCCAAATTATTTCCTTGGTTCTTTCTCTCCTTAAAAATAGCTTAATTCAAATGAGTTTCTCTAGTTTTAAATACTACTTATCTATTCTCTTGCCTTCTCTCCTCGTCTCCCCTTGGGTCGTTTTCCTTTAGTTCTCACCACTGCTTTTCCGCATATTTATCTTCAAATATACAAATACAATACTTTCCAACATCCACCAGGGACAACACCTTGAAATTAAAGCAGGCAAACCATCCAGAGTTTTCCATTCTCCTGTGAATCTACTTCCAAAATATCCACTCAAGGAATCCTTCCCACTAAAGATGAAAGGCGAGCTAAGGAAATACATTAGACAGAGGAAGTAAACATTGAAACAGGGCCATGCCTAGATATTATTCAGCCCCAGAGAAAAAAACTGGATTCTTGGGTCCAAAGGTCTTTTTTGTGCCTTTTATCCCCTCCCAGAGGCCGACACCACGCAGGTCTGAGAGAGGTATCCCACGCCACCTACCCTCTACACACACCGCACGACCTTGCTCGGAAATAATCTTGCACAAGCAAAATTCTCCATACCTCTCAGACTCTTTCGCCTAATGTTTTTGTGCCTCAGTTCTTGAGCTCTTCTCACTTTGCAACTGGACCAGGGAACACTGGGTCTTCGCCTTAATTTACAGGTTTGCATAGAAGGTTTTAAATTAGTCCGGTTTCTCCGTGATAAGTCACACCCTACCTACAAAGTGCACCAAGGGGGGTTCAAATTATCCCCGCTCCACCCTTAAATAAAACAAATCACTTGGCTGCAATGCCTTTCCGCCAGCAGAGACGGGTTCAAGGGAGATTCGGACACATCTCCACCTCCAAAGCCAAGTGCCTTCCTGGGGTGATATGCATAACAATATGGGGGTGCTGGTGGTGGAGAAGCTCCTGGAAGACAAACCTAGCAGGACAGTACCGAGCCGCCCGCAAGCCCGTCGCAGCTCCATTAATGTAGCTACCATTACGCTAAGGTAACGTGTGATTCACACTCCCCACCTTCTCTCCCCTCATTCCCCGGCTCCGGCACTCGCACCTTCGGAGGGCTGGCGCTGCCAAGGTCCCAGAGGATGAGACACCCGAAGGAAAAAAGCATCATCAAGAGAAATTAACTAGTCTCATGTTCTGAAGACGCCTCTCCCTGTGCCCCAGAAGTCAGTCTCCAACTCCTCCCCTCGCTCTCCGAAGGCTGCGGACCACCAACACACGCCTCCCTCCAGCGCTCAGTGAGACGCGACGGGAAGCCCTCATCTCTCTCCACTACAGGCACAGGGGAGGGTCCCGGGGTGCAGGAGAGAAGAACCCCGCTTTTCCCCACCCCCTCCCCCCGAGAAACTTCTGGGACTCTTCATTACGCAACTCAGGGACCAGCTTCCAACAACGGGACAGCTCTCCGCGAAACGCGGGGTGCACGGGCAGACGTTAGATTTTGGGGGTGGGGTGAGGGAGGAGCATGGGTCTCTTCCCGTGTCCCCGTCCCTGTGTTTCTAGGCGCTACCTGCCGCGGGATCTCAAGTAGGGCGGGGAGAGCTCTGCGCCCTCGCCCGTTCTCCCCGAAGGCTCCCACCGGAAAAGTGGAAACGCCAGCTACTTGAGTCAGCGTGCTGGGAAGCCGGCAGAGAGGCGGGGAGAGCCTTGGCTTCCGAGAAGTCCGCGGCGGCGGGGGCCGGCCGGACCGACCCCAAACCCTGGGTCGTGGGGGAGGCGCAGGGCTGCGCTCACCTTCCAGACCCTTCCGTCCTCTAGTCCCGGGTCGGGCGCCCTCGTCACCTCCGCCCTCCCCTGACCTGTTGCGGTGGGAAGGGGCGCGGGTGCTGACGGCGCAGGGGAGCGCGTCCTCCCGGGGCTTGGCCGCGGAACCGTGGACGCGAGGGTGCCGCTCCGCCCGCAACGCGCGCAGGCGGCGGCCGAGTGCGCAGGGGCCGCGCGCGCCCGTCGCTCGCTAGCTGGCTGGTTCGCAGGCTCCGCGCGCCGGCCGCCCCGGACGCCCCGGACGCCCAGACCACGCCCTCCGCGCGAGGGTCCGCCCCTCGCCCCGCCCCCACCGCCGCCACCCGAGCCGCGGTACCGGGTTCCGCCCCGGCCCGCGCCCTCTAGCTGGCGCCACCCAAGCTGCAAGGGACGTCGCGGCCCTCCCGGGACTGGTGGGAGGATCGTGGGGGAGCGACAGCTCAGGACGGAATACGGCAGTGACCGCCCCGGCCGCGAGGGTGACCCTGCCCCGGGCTGCGGGGGGGGCACAGGAACCCTTTCACTTCACGGCGAGATTAAACTCAGGGTCAAGTTCTGAGCAAAAAGTGTCAAGGAGCCTTTTTGCAACCTCCTGTATTATTGAAACAGATTCCGTGCCCTTTAAAGGAGATAATAACTAACATCTGGGGAGCGTTTTACAGTTTAGAAAGGGCTTTTCACACACAGGCCTGTTTCGTCTTCACAACAATCTTATGAAACAGATATGTTGTTCCCATTTCCCAAGTAATGAAACCGAAGCGCTGAAAAGTTAAGTATTGTGCTCAATGTCACAGGCTACTAAGTGGCATGGGAAACCAGGTCTCCTGAATCTAGCCTCCGGGTTTCTGCTCTCCACCAGCCCAACCTCAGGAAATTCTAAAAGGTGCAGGGGTCTTTGGCAAATAGACCCGAGGGAAGAAGGGGAAACTTCATGTCTAGTTAAGTCGCTGCCTGATTCCTGCTGTGAACATACCGAGGAAAGCAACAGGCTGTCTTCATTGTGTGGTTGCACCTTCCTTCCTGAAAGGGACGCAGAAAGATTACATCAAATGGCGCAGATGAGATTTCACCCCCATTGTTTTATGGTTTAAAATGGGTGAAATAATTTGGATGAAGAAAACCACCTTACTTTAATGTAATGTGTAATGTAAATTAGCATAATGTATGAAAATAAGCCCCTCCCTGCTGTTCTTTCCTCTTTTTAATTTTGTCTGTCTCTACTGCTCTGCTCCTCAATTTTTTTATTGTCCATATAATTGAAAACCTAATCGATGGATATTTGCATTTCCAAATTAAACCTTGGGCTACTTTACTTAATTTCCCATGGATTGTTTTCCAAAATATAACTCTTCGCCCTATTCCATATCCTCCCATTGGGAAATTGGTTTACCTAGACAGCTAAAATAATTAAGGTGTCCCTGATGAACCCTGGTGGTGTATCTATCTAAGATGAAAGTTTTGGCCGGGCGCGGTGGCTTAAGCCTGTAATCCCAGCACTTTGGGAGGCCGAGGCGGGTGGATCACGAGGTCAAGAGATCGAGACCATCCTGGTCAACATGGTGAAACCCCGTCTCTACTAAAACTACAAAAAATTAGCTGGGCATGGTGGCGCGTGCCTGTAATCCCAGCTACTCAGGAGGCTGAGGCAGGAGAATTGCCTGAACCCAGGAGGCGGAGGTTGCGGTGAGCCGAGATCGCGCCATTGCACTCCAGCCTGGGTAACAAGAGCGAAACTCCGTCTCAAAAAAAAAAAAAAAAGAAAAAAAGAAAGTTTTGGTCATCCCTGAGCAGGGTGGGACAGGAGTCACCTCCAAACTGTGCACCTTTTAAAGGTTTCTAACAGAGACTACTCTCTATTCCAATCAATAACAAATATTTTAACCTTTTTGCTATATAATGAATACATTTCATTGTGAAATATATATTAGCATGATAATATTTTATAATCTGGAAACCTTTACCACTTCTTTTTTTGTATTCTTTTTGTATCATCCCATAGCATCTCCTATAGGGCTCTTCAAACTATGGTCAACTTAGTAAATGATGTTGGCAGCGGAAGTGTGATAATTTTATTTTCCTTCCTTTGGAATTGAAGAATGTAATTTTGCAGAAATTTTGTTAAATATGAAGTAGCTTTGGTTCAGAGTGTAGCTCATTCCATTTATATGAATATTCTTAAGGCAATGTGCTAGGTGATGAGCTGTATCAATGACAAAGAAGAGCTCCTATTTTCATGAGATTCCCGTGTGGTGGCAGAAGCAAGCAAGTAAATAAATAATTCTAATACACACTTCTTTTTTTTTTCCCCCCTGAGACAGAGTCTGTCTCTGTTGCCCAGGCTGGAGTACAGTGGCACAATCTTGGCTTGCTGCAATCTCCGCCTCCCACTTTTAAGCAGTTCTCTGCCTCAGCCTCCCAAGTAGCTGAGATTACAGGTACGTGCCACCATGCCCGGCTAGTTTTTGTATTTTTAGTAGAGACGGGGTTTCACTGTCTTGGCCAGGCTGGTTTTGAACTCCTGATCTCGTGATCCACCTGTCTCCGCTTTCCAAAGTGCAGGGATTACAGGCGTGAGCCATTGTGCCCAGCCTAATACCCACTTCTATTGATTTATTTTCTGAATGGTGACTGGCTATTGGAAAAGACCAAATCAAATTAATTTTCTCATAATGAATAAAGAAAAAGGCTAACCACGCCAATGAGTTATTTTTTTTAAACTTGCCTTTCTTCTTCTTCTGCAGGTCACTTTATGTAAGTGGTTAATAAGCAGGCTATATTCTTCCTTCAGGTCCAAAAAAGGAAAAAAAAAAATATATATATATGTATATATATATGTAAGCAGGCTATTTTTAAAAGTGATTGCACTATATCTACTTTAAAAAAAATTGTATCTACTTTTTAAATTTAAGACATAAACAAAAGGAAAATAATTATGTAATGGAGCAGCAGATATTTAGCTTTGTTAGCTACTGTTTCCTCCATCATCTTCATCATAGGAATTCTTAAATTACGTTTTTAGCACACTGAATGAAATTCCAGAACTTTCTGAATCTTGACAAGCTAATCACATACATTTCAGATTATGTTTCTGCTAAGGTGAAGCATGTTTCTGACATCAGTGCTTTTTTTTTTTTTTTTAACAGAACAACAACAACAAAATCTCTCCTTTAAATATGATGATGATACTTTTTAGCTGCTTCTTCATATGAGGGCCCCTGGGATATTACCTGGTGATTTTCAGCCATTATTTTACTTAAAATTTAAAAACAAATTAGTAAAACCCCTGGGACTCATAGAAGCTCACAGGATGTATTCTCAGAGCACCTGAACAGCCCACAAGGAGAGAAGACAACATTAAGATAGAGGCAGGAAGGCTGGGCACAGTGGCTCACACCTATAATCCCAGCACTTTGGGAGGCCGAGGCGGGTGGATCACGAGGTCAAGAGATCGAGACAATCCTGGTCAACATGGTGAAACCCTGTCTCTACTAAAAATACAAAAATTAGCTGGGCATGGTGGC